TCATTCCTAAAATGCAGCAGCTAGACCTACACGCAGTGCCAACACACCCCTTCCTGAGGGTCTCCAGAGCTCCAGTAAGACACAGCTTTCAAATAGGCTGCTCTCTGCTAGAGTGCTTAGTTATTTTCTTAGCCAAAAAAATTTTGCAGAAGCTATGTCAGGATTAGAGGCTTCTACCAGCTACAAGTAATGCTGTTATTTCCTGACTGACAGTTCTGTGCTCCCAGAAACTCTCAGAGCTGACAATTTCAGTGACATAGCTACTTTGTCATGCATATTCATTTCCTTCTGGCAAGGAGGTAGGGGGGAGATGGGCCCCCCCCGGCCCCCCTCCGGCGGAGCTTTAGTGCGCGGCCTTGCTCTCCGGGCTGGGGCGCAGGCGAGGCCCCGGGGGGTTCTCCCGCGCTGGGTCAGGAACTCGGGGCCGCTGCTCCGGGGCGGTGAGGACGGGGATGGTCCGTCCGTCCGTCCGTCCGTCCGTCCTTGGGAGGGGACCGGCACCCTCCGAGCAGGGACGAGAGACACCTCTGCTCACACGCTGCGTAAATGAGAGATGCAAATACACCTGTCAGGTTTTTTTGCCTGGTGTCACATCGCTAGACTTGATCTTGTTACTGAGTCTTCTTGGTGCATATTTGTATTTTTTTTTCTTTGGACTAGATCGTCTGGGAGCAAAGCAGGACAGGTTTGGGCCCCTGAAGGATCAACAGCTTTCAAGTGTCTCATCTCAGCCAGGTTCTGTGCAGCTCTCTTAAGCAACATCTCTGATTGTGATGAGACATTCAACTATTGGGAACCAGTAAGTGGCTTTTTCTCCCTGGAGATACCTGGGAATTTGTAGCTAGTACAGGTTTATCTAGAACCTTGCGCTAATCTCTGTGTTTCAAAGAGAAATTTTCTTAAGAATTTAGAGATGGAAACACAAACCTGCCTACTCTGTGCGATGTATTTATTGATTTAATCTCTGTTGCAGACACACTACCTCATTTATGGAAAGGGGTTTCAGACGTGGGAATACTCTCCAGCCTATGCCATCCGCTCCTATGCTTACCTGTGGCTTCATGCCTTACCAGCCTTGTTCCATGCTAGGGTTCTACAAACCAACAAGGTAAATAAGATGTGTGAAAGCTTCTTTTGTGATGAATAAACGTGCCTTTGGCCTGTGTTAAACATCTACTTTGTTTGTTGTCAGAGGTAAGAGAAGTAGTGTTTACTAATTTGTTTGTAAGTACTAACCTCCCTTTAAGGATTTGCAACGAGCTGACTCAATGGGATCCAAGGAAAAGTGATTGTGAAGTTGCAGGGAGATGCTGCCAGGCTTGGGTTTGATTAAGAAGCAGTCCTAGAGGGGGTGGTAGCTCCATGGCCTTTTGAGTGTGTGCAGGCCTGCCTCAGGACAAGGCAGCTGTGGGCTCTCATTCGCCCCTGTGAGTTTCACCTTGATGCTGTAGAAGCCTGTGTTGTTTCTATGCCAGCTATTAATGCCTGTTTTGATATATTGTTTTAATAAACTATAAAAAATAAGTTAGTATTTTGTAAGGGATATTGCAAACTGAACTCGCAAGAAGTGTTAAAGAAAAAGCCCTGAATGTGCGTTCTGCCTGGGTATCCATTGCCATTCTTGGCATTTTTCTGCACAAGAAAACAGAAGGGGGCTAGTTCTCGTAAGTTCAGTGGGCTGTGTTCACTTTTTGTGTTGTGAAGGACTTCAGTGTTATAGGTCTAGGCTTCAGGCTGCTGGGATCTTTGGCATCCCTTGGTGTGGGATCTGGGTCTCCAAGAATAGCTTTGTGCACCACTGCCAAACTTGCTCTATCTTCTTCAGAACTTTTGTTCTTGGGACTAACTTGCTAGCAATAGGTGCATAAGTTTCATTGCAAACCTTGTTCAGACTCTGAGTATGTCTCCTAGGTCCTTATCTTCTATTTCCTGCGATGCTTCCTGGCCTTCCTGAGCTGCATTTGTGAACTCTACTTCTACAAGTAAGTATTAGAAACTGTCTACAGTGAATGTTTTGGAGCAATGTGAGTAACATATTTACTTATTACCACAGGAAGTACAGTCTGAAGCTCGTGTGTAGATGTGTCTAGTAAATTTGGCTACTTTGCAGTGAACCTTGAAAATCTGTTTCTCATGACTCAATGAAATATGGGTCAGAATTCCACTGTTAGGCCTGCATTTCCATTCCAGTATTTTGTTGGCTACACTCGTTTTCTCACGAATACCAGCAAGCAGGGTGGGAGTGTTATAAACTCAGCTCTGCTGGAAGAGAGACTGGTGCTGTGTTTGCTTATCAGAGTGACTTTTAGTGGAATACATTGATTGTATCTGTCAGTGGTGCTTACATCCACTAAAAGCAGTAGCCTGAACATACAATTATCCTCTTTAAGTTGGATTTTTATTTTTACCTGCTGCTTCTGTATTTGTGGCTTTCAGACCCTGCAGCAGACTTTTCTGTTGCCCGTAGTCTGGTTTTAAGAATGTGAGCTGTGGCTTTTTGCATGGTGTGATTTTGAGAGGTAAAAATCTTAGATAGGTTCATGTTGCTGCAGCGGTGCAGCCTCCTGAAGTTCCTGAGATTTGCATGAGCACAACTGACACGGGTTGAAGCCAAGTCTCTTCTAGGGTTTTGCATGAGTGTAACTTAGTAGGATCTGAAATCCCAGGCTGGCAGCAGTTATATTGCCCTTCAGGTTGCCTTCAGTGGCTGAGTAATGAGAATCACCCACCTTAGAGCTTGCAGGATGCTCCATGGATTGTTTGTGTCTCTGCATACATTGGATACTGTTATTTTATGTATTGAGGATATTTTTGTGGTATATAATTCTCTCTTACTTCCTTAGGGCCGTGTGCAAGAAGTTTGGGCTACATGTGAGCCGCCTGATGTTGGCCTTCTTAGTACTCAGCACTGGAATGTTTTGCTCATCTGCAGGTAAATTTGCTTAGCAATGACACTAACAGTTACTTTGTCCATAGAAACCAAAGACAGGTGCAGAGAGAAGAAAATCCACAGCACTAAAATCTCTCTAGCAGTCATTTGTTGTGTTCTGCTGCGGGTATTTCTCGTGGCAGGTGTGGTGACAGAGTTAGTGTTGATTCAAATTATGTTGCCTACATCACTGCTGTTATCTTTTCTTTTCCAGGGCATGTTTGTTTTCATTGCTGCCTCTAGTTTCTCTGCAATGGGCCATGCCTTTAAACAGGGTCTTAGCCTACCTTCCTTGAACATATTTTAATCCAAGAAAGGAGGGTCATATTTTGGCACTGTCAGTTGCTTTTGTGTCCTGTCCCCTCTGTCTGGTTGTTACCCATTTGCCTGGTCAACCACTGTAAGACTTAAAAAACACCTGCTGTAGGTATTGAGGAAGGTGCAAAGAGAGACTTTGAGCAAAAGTTTTCTGTATTGTGTGCATACAGAAACATAAGGGGAAATACCACAATTTATGAACGTGGAGATTTCCTATTTTACTCTTTTTGGTTTTTTTTAATGTTTATGGTGAGTGGAGAAAGGACTTTCTGTTCATTGTTTTTGCAGTGTCATAGGTCTCCTCATTCTTTGCTTACTTCTCAGCAGTCTCTGCCCAGTTGTTTCAGAGACTGTACCCAGTTAGCTCACATTTCCTGCTGCCATTTGAGCAGGTTTGTTTCTTTTTTTTCAATCTAGCAGAATATAGAGGGTGCAGCAAGTGTTACAAGTGGTAACTGTGGATGCTGTCATCTAGTTACCACTGTGGAGTGCCACTGAGGAAAGAGGCATTCATACTAAAAGGAAGTATTTATGGCCTTGCTGAGTAAGAATCCTCTTTTTTTGTGCTTTCAGTGAAATGAGAGTATCCACTATAGTATGCCAGCCCCAATGGAATGAATGGAAATTAGCCTTGTATTGCCCTCACACAGTTCTGTTGTGGGAAAGCTGTGCTAACCCCTTTTGTTCCTTGTGTTGCAGCTTTCCTCCCAAGCAGCTTCTGCATGTACACCACGGTGATTGCCATGACTGGCTGGTATATGGACAAGACCTCTGTAGCAGTGCTGGGGGTGGCTGCTGGAGCCCTTCTGGGCTGGCCCTTCAGTGCAGCTCTTGGGTAAGGAGAGGAGGGCTCAAGGGTTTTTCACTTTGTCAAATGTTTCTTGCCTGAGGATAGTGTAGGGGCTGGAGAGCTGGAGGAAGAACCTAGCAAGGACTGAGCTCCCTGCCTAGTCCAGCACCATTACTACAGGCTTCCATAGCCTGATTTCTTTGCTTTTGAAGAACTTAGGTTGGGAAGATTTCCTCACCTTCATATACTGAAGCAGAGCCCAGTGAAGTGATGGGTTTCTTCCAGCTACTTCCCTGCTTGCTTTGAAGGGACAGGAGAACCTGCAGTGGGGAAGGACAGTCTCCAGTTGATACCTGGTCTCTCTTTCAGGCTTCCTATTGCCTTTGACTTGTTGATACTGAAGCAGAGGTGGAAAAGTTTCCTCAACTGGTGTGTGGTGTCATTGATCCTATTTTTGGTAAGTGCTTGTAACAACACAAAAAGGAAATGAATTGGGCTGGCAGTAGAAAGGGTGGGTTCCATTAAGAAAATCACATGTAGCTTTTGGGCAGTCCAGCCAAAAGCTTCTGGCACTTTAAACAATAGATGATTTCTTCCAGGTGCCCTTGGTAGTTGTGGACAGCTATTACTACGGGAAGCTGGTAGTTGCACCTCTCAACATTGTTTTATACAACGTCTTCACCTCACACGGACCTGATCTCTATGGTGAGTTTAAGGTGACCAGCCGGGAAGGGAGCTGGCGGTGTTCTTGCTGCTGTCTTACTACCGTGACCCACCAGGTCTTGATTGCCAGTCCTTTTCCTGACGTACTCTAAAGCAAAAGCAGCCTGCAAGCTCTAATGGGGCTGCAGTTCCACCTTTTTGTCACAGGATGTCTCTCTTGAGCTGGGAATCCGCAGGCCATTAGGGTTCTCTATGAGTTAAGCTGCTCTGTTCACTTTCAAGTTCTGTAAAACCGTTGTGAGATGTGTCAGCGTCACAGCAGAGAACTGTTAGTAGCAAACGTGTCTGGATACTACACGAGTGATACATGTGTGAGTTTGTCAGCTTTAATCGAGTTCTTGGCTGTTGTTCCTCACAGTCAGGGTGCAGAGCCTTGAGAACGTGGGTAGCAGTGCAGAACCTGGTCTCTGCAGACTCTCCGAGTCCGTGCTGTGCCTTGGGAATCTTGCTTATTGGCAGTGGCCTGTGCTTTGCTGGGCAGCAGAATCTGAGGTTACCATACAGGGATCTAATCTGCAGGCAAGTCATCTGCCTACTAGGGGTTCCCTGGCACTGGCCATTTATGATACTGTGTGGCCCCAGTCTCACCTTGGTGAACCTGGATGGCAAAGCTATACTGTTTGTTTGGGAGCTGCCACTACACGAAGTTGTTCATATCATGTACTTCTAGAGCTGAAGAGTAGGAAAGTATTGTGTTTCTTGCAGGGCTTCAGAGGGGCTGGTGGAGACTTCAGGGAGTTGAGGTTGCAGGGTGCCTGTGTCGCCTCTGTCATCTGTTTATGCCCTGTTGAGATGCTCTAGGAGGGGTTCAGCAGTGCTTAGCAGCAAGGCTTTCTCTGTCAGTGCCCTGCGGGCCGTATTTGTTGGTTCATTTGAAGGGGTGTTTTGGGTGGTGCTGAGTGGTGATTTGTTACTTGTGCTGTGGCACAGCAGGGCAACAGCTGCTTTGCCTTGGTTTTTCATCTCTGCAGGAAGGCTCTGAAGTCTGTTGCTATGAATTTTCTGTAAGTAAACTCCAGTCTCTGTCTCTGATAGGTTTTGGCATGGGCTTGTGCCTGACCTTTTCCACACTGGTACATGAGTTGTTTCCAGAATCCTCCAGGGACCAATCTATTCTGAAGTGTTTTATTCATAGTGACATTCATATAACATCCTCAGGCTAGTAAAAGAGTCTGCTTGAAATTGCTCTTTAATGCAGTGTGGCCAGGACAACACTGTGGGTTTAGAGAGCTTCAAAACACTTGGGAAAAATAACACTACTAGGGGAGATGAAAGGCTGGCCAATCCCTTTTGGCTTTGGAGCTGGGATTTCCCAACTTTGACATGATGGGAGTAGGAACTGCTGGAGGTTGCAGAGCCATCAACCCGTATCATCTTCAGTATAAGCACCACAGTATTTTTCCTTTTGTCTGCAGACTGGAGTTCTGGAGACAAAGTTTTTTTTTTTTTTTTTTTTTTTCCTGTTTTTGTCTGTAACAGTACACTCATTTTGGATAAACACAGTCTGTGCAGTGAGTATTTTCCTGAGGTGATTAGGTTTCTGCAGCTAAAGGAAACTAGCTTCTAAGCGTAGATCCCTAAACCTGATTCTGAGGCTTTGGGATGCTTTTGTGTACGTATCTTCTAAGAATGCACAATTCGTGACAAAAGTTTTGTCCCACTTGCTGTGATCAGAGCCTTGGCTGTGACTTGCAGCGTGATGGCACTTTGGGAAGCTTTGTTCGGCTTGAGTGGAATATGCTGGCGTTGTTTATATGACACCTTGCTCTGTTGAGCTCTGGTTCTGAAATAGAGTGAAAATAAATGAAATGCAGAAAGCAGACTGTTTGTTATACTAGCAGTGAATCAGACCTTAGAATGAGAACTGTGACTCATGGTCAAATTATTGCAGCTTAGTTACTGCTTAACAGCTGAGCTACAGTTCCTGTCTGCATGCAGGCTTTTAGCCTGTGACAAACATAGGGTGGGGCACCTTAGTTTAAGCCTATTTTCAACTCCCCTGCTTTGTCCTGAGCCGCCCTCACCATTGCTGTGGTCAGGCTGTAGCATGGTAGCTTGTGAAGTTCTATTAACTTGTGTGTGAGTTTGGTTTCTAGAATTGCTCCTGAGGCCTGTCACAGAGCACAAATTCAAACCAGCCTCTGGCTCAGTGCCTGACAGTGCTTCCAGGTGGTTATCCCATGGAGCCGTAGTGCCATGAACTGACTGGGCCCGTGTTCTTCCCACTGCTTTCATCAGTCTGTCTCTTCTACAGCCCACATCTGCTCAGCATGTGGGATACTTGCAGGGAAGTTGCATCCTCTGTCACAGTCTGGAGGCGATGCTGTGGGAGCATGTTGCCATCAGTACCGTGCGTGGAGAGTTCTTTAGTATCCCTCCCTGCTTGAAAGATGTTGTTCTGGGCCAGGACTTCTTGTATGCAATGGGGTTTTTCTTTGGTTTTTTTACGTCGCAGTTTCTTCTCAGATCACTTCCAGTCGTTGTGGATAACAAGAATAAAAGCATTTTGCCCTGGGAGGCATTGAGACTGAATGCCTCTGAATGGGTGAGTCATCACAGTGACCAAGGCTATTGCTTTTTGCCTGGTGTCTGTGAATTATTTAGCTTGCTTGTGCAGTGCACTGTTCTCCTCAATTCTTTTTTTTCCTCTCCTCACCCAGAGAAGAAAATTCCTCATTGGAGAGTCCTTCATACTTAAGAGCAATCCAATTTCATCCTGATAAAAAAATCTGAGAAAGTAGTCTTTTTGTTAAAACTGTGCTTTAGACCAGCTGACCTCTTTATTAACAGAGTCCCTCAGGACACCTCCGGGTCTTGAAGGCTGTATCTGGATTGTAGCAGAGGTGTGCTTCATGAAGTGTCCTTTATTCCTGAGTCCCAGGCTATCATATCAGAGACCAGACTAGAGAGTGCCATAGTTAATAAACTTTACTTTCCATAGCAGCTGGGGCAGGTAAAAGGGTGACAGTATAGTCCCTGGTACTACTCTTCAGTAAAGATTTGGGACTTGGCTGTGCTGTGCAGCCTAATTGTACCCAGAGGACCCTGGAGGGTAACAGTTTATATCAGTTCAAGAAGCTTTCTACTTCATCCTGGTATCTTCTACAATAAAGTGGCTGTTGTTTACCAGCACTGGGAGCAGAGAAGCAGGCTATGGAACTCAGTTCTAGTCCTTTTTTATATAAGGAGGGGCCTTGGTGCTTCATGGAAGGAGTTTCTAGTGAGACTTAACCAGTGCTAATCCTGCTGTAAGTGTTTAGAAACCCGTACTGTTGCCTCAGAAGAGAATCTGGAGGTGACAGGGCTGAGAAGAACCCAGAGCCCCCTTCACACACCGCTATTTCTAGATGTCCACTGGAAGATTTACAGTGTGATTACTCCAGACTGCCTCACGTTTTCCCTCACAGACATATCCCAGGCAGCAACCCTGATTTCTAGGAAGGGTGGTATGCTTCAGTCCTAAAATGATCTGCTCTCTGCACGTGTTCAAGATCTGTCATGCTTATTATTTAGAATTGCAGTCCTTAAATAAGGAGAGTCACCAGGAGAGTCTGGAGGAGGAAGGGACATTGGCAATTCTTCAGTGTTGCCATACAGATAACACTGTCATGTTCTCACTTGACTTGATCTTTCACTCTACTGTATTCCATGTTCAGCCTTTCACAGGCTGAGGATTGTGCTCATGTGGGACTTTCAAGAATTATGAGGCAGGTGGAGGGAGAGAAAAGGTGAATTTCTAATAATTCACTCCCTTAAGGCCCCCTACTCTCCAAATCTGTAATTGCTATAGCTAAAGGTTTCCTAAATGAATCTAAGTTACTTGGCCTTAGTAACTCCAGTGACATGTTTCTAACATTACTAGTACAGTTTCTAATCCTATTTAACTATAGAAGCTGCAGAGGTTTTGGGTTTTCCTTGCTGCTTTTCAGTTGTCTGATTAATTTCAACACGGACCCTATTTAAGTGGCTCTGATTGCAGGAAATTGCTGCAGCATGTGACACATGTCACAACAGTGCAGTGATTAAAGCCCCCGCATGTCATTTACTGACTGATTGAGCTAATCACACTGAGAGAGTGGCAAATGTGTGGAGAGGAACTGGCATTCCTTATTGTTCAGGATTTTGAGCATCCTGAATTAAGAGTCCAAATAAATGACAGTTGGACTGGAATTTCTTCGAAGCTTGCAACCAGTACCCAAGTATGTCATGTTGGGAGGCAAAGTTGGCTTGTTTCTGTCTGAAGCTACACTCTTAAGAACAGTTTGAAGTAGAGACATTTTAAATAACGTTCACTCTAAGGAGGTACCAAAACTAGCATCCAGATAAACTTTAGTGTCAGAGGCTTTGCTGGGATGAAGTGTGAATGTAAACTCTTTTTCTTGTTCCTTTTTAGTGCATTTTCTATTTCTGCCAACATGGAATATACATCATCACCCCAGAATTATAATGATCTCCTGTTAACATTATGTGTTTTTGTGTTACTCCTCTGGTACTTCAATTAAAAAGAATGAATTTGGAGTAAAATTTCCTAGTTTTACAAGTTTCTGCCTCTCTTGCTGCGTAGGCTCTGCTGGGCAAGGCTGACTTTTAGAGAGGCCTGTGATTCATGAGCAGCAGATGTGCTATTGACTATGACCCAGTGAAAAAGGAAAGAGAAAAATAATTTCTGCAAAGGAAGACAATGAAGTTTATTGGGCAGACATGATTGTGAGATACTCTGGTGCCTTTGTATGGTTATTGACTGACTTTCATGCCACTATTATGTTAGTTTTATGGGTGAGGGACAGAACCATGAGACTGCTTTGAGATGGCTCAGGCTCATTCCATGGGGCTGCACCCTCTGTCCAGCTGCAAGATTTTCTGTCCACACCCTTTCCGTTGTTTGGTTCCAATATGCTTACAATGGAGAGAATGGATGTCTGCTGCTGATTATCTGGGTCTGTGTCGGGCAGAGAAGCTTGCTGTTAAATCTAGATCTCGTACATGCATGTATTTAAAAACTCTTTGTTTCCTTTTCTCATCCTTTAGGTACAGAACCCTGGTCCTTTTATTTTATCAATGGCTTTCTGAATTTCAACGTGGCATTTATTTTGGCACTGCTTGTGCTGCCACTGACTTATCTCATGGAGTGTCTGCTTCAGAAATTTCATGGTGAGTATAAGACAGCTGTGGGAGCCAAGCACAGACAGCCCAGATCTCAACCTTGTTACTGAAGGGAGAGCTTGCCTGCCAAAGAGCAGCTTTCCTTTACTGGAAGTGAAACTAGGGTTCAGGGAAAGCCTTTGGAGTAATAGGAAAGTTCCTAGAGCTCATTACTCACTTCAGTATTGACCCCACAATGGAGCTGCTGTGCAGAAAGAACACGCAGTGAGATGCATCTACTTACGTGCTGTCTGCAAAATAGCAGAAACATGTTTTTAGGGATGATTCTTGTGTTCCCTGCCTTCACCTCAAGAAGAACAACATTCAAGGCTGAGCTATCCGTACTCAGAGTAAGCTTAACAAATTGTATGGTACATAACCTTCAACCAGATGTGCAAATGCATTAGAAATAGCCCTGTCAGAAATCCTAAGGGGGAAAGAAACTATATACCCATTGTTATTTCCATTTTATCTGCAGCTGGAAATGGTAGAGTTATTCTACCTTTATATTATTTATTCTGCCTTTATATTATAGCCTTTAGAGTCATTCAGGGAACCTTTTGCTGGCTTTTCCATTGTTACTTTTTTATCCCACTGCCAGAATGTTTTCTGCAACAGCTGTAGAGAACAGTTATTTCCCTTTTGATTGTTGGGGCTCAGCCTACACATAGTCATCCTCTGGTCTCTGCTGCTGCCACCTGTGTCGGGACTGAACCTGGACTCTTCTGTGCACTGTAAAGACACTCTTCATCTCAAAGGACGAGGCCCTGGCAGGACAGCTTTGCTACTCAGTGCTTGGAGAAGCATCCTCATAGGTGTGATATACTGAGACTAGAAAAAGGAGGAACCAGAATATTCCCTACTTCATGTTGAACTTTCTCTTAAATAAAATGACATCAGTTTAAATAAAAGACATCTGGCAAGTGACTAGAGAGGAAAAAGGTGTTGATGAAGTGTGAATTCTTCTCTGCCGTTTACCTAGGGAAGATTCATTAAGCATCAACAGCAGCCTCCAGATTCATCAGTCCAGTTAGTGCTTCGCTCTCTGATATTTTTACTGAATACAGGAAACAATAACATCATAATCCTTGCTGAAAATGTATGTTAACGGGTATTTGCTTATATCTGTTCCTTGGATATGACTGACATACTGTCAGAAACCAGTAAAAGCTCAGCAGGAGATCCTGTAAATGCAAGATTTCCTGCTGTTCACTTGGTGTTCTTGTACTTAACAGCAGGAGCAATTCTGCCAAGTGCTTTGTTCTTATTGTCTGTGAAATGCCGTTAGCTTAATTGCTTAACTCTGCTGTTGGGAGTAGCAAGGGGGCAGAAGAGGGACTGAAAATTGTCAGGCGCTATAGAACCCTCCTCACTGTGACTAAAATTCAGGGTAATTGTTGTTATTTTTGAGTCAGTTATTTCCTCCGTTAAGCAGAAGGTGCCTCAGAGACCTCTCATGCTGTTATTTTTGTAATGAAGCAGTGAAGGTTGTGGAAACTTCAGTCACTAAACAACCATTTGTAAGTGGAAGGGTAGGTCCAGAGGAGATTCTTTCTGATCTTTGTATGCATAGCATAATACACAGCAGGAAAACTAGTACTTCTGACTACCTGTTTAGACATGTCAGTTCTTGATGGACTTTTTTCTCTTGCTTGGATTCAGTAATGCAGTCCCTTATTTTCTGGTTTCTGTCTTCTAAAGTCCATTGAACTTCTTAGTATTGTAGGAATCTACAAAAATTATCTGATCAAAATTCTATCCCAACTGTTTGGAAGTGTCACCTGGATTTCAGCAACAGGGCTGCTCAGAACATGGTTTGTTTGTGTCTGAAGGCAGTGGTTTGCATCTGGATAATGGGCTTCTGAATGTGAGAGATGATTGTGCAAGAGGGGAATGGGATAACCCCTCATTCTTACATTACTGCTTTGCTGAGGGTTTGTTTCTTTCAGTTCAGAATCTGGGTCGTCCCTACTGGCTGACACTAGCTCCTATGTACATTTGGATCATGATTTTCTTCAGTCAGCCCCACAAAGAAGAGAGGTTTCTCTTTCCCATCTATCCCCTCATCTGTCTCTGCAGTGCTGTGGCTCTGTCTGCTCTTCAGGTGAGTTTTAGTTGGAACGTGTTTTTAAGGAGCTCATACCTTTAGGAAGCGTAACTGCTAGCTGGCTTCTTTAACATTGCTTCCCAGAGTTTGGGAACTTTTGCAGTACATCTGTCTGTGACACAATCTGCAGTGATTACACAGTTCAGGACTGTCCTATGCATAAGTTTTTATCATCGTCTTTAATCTGTTAACTGGTACAGTTTTCATTTTTGAACTGTGTTTCATGGATAGCTGGTGAGACTCTGGAAGCAAAATGCACGGCTGTTCTAATACTGAAGTATGTGTGTTGCTGATTTCACAAACCATAATCTTTCTGTACAGGTTGATTGAGACTATGTGGAAAACTGTTAGCGCTCTGTAAGATGTGATGTAAAAGCAAAGATATTTGGGATTTCCCCCCTGAGTGTCATACAGAATGAGCTCATCTAGTAATCTTGGACTTGCAGCAGTGCAGGCTGCTTAACAGCCCAGCAAAACAAGATTCATGGCTTTATAAGGTGATCACATGAGGAGCTTGTCTGGGATCATGTAAAGTGGTAAATGGTTGAGAATATTTCCTTGCCACGAATTATTTCATGATAACTTGGAGTTGTTCTCCCATCCCAAGTGGAAATTTCTGGTGAGGAGCAGTTGTGATGTTGTAGTGCCAATACAACACAACATCCAAGAGACATCATGAGGATTAGTAACTTCCTTACAGCCTTGTGCCTCCTTTGTCTATTGTTAAGGAAGCTTTAAGGAGTTGGAATGGGTGTGTGTGTAGGAAATGCATTTTGTTGTCCCTTAGTAGGAATTCTTCACTGATTTGAAAAATTTTTCTATTTTAGGCATTAGGAAATTGTATTGGACATTTGGAAGAGCCAAAAATTGGATGTTTATTAAATATTACTTGAAAGACTTCATAGAGTAAATAATATAGATTGATATAAACCTTTCCCAAGCTCAAAATTATTGATCTTTCCTCTGTTAAAGAGGCACAGGAATGCAGTCACTAGTCCCAATTAGAGCCTGTTTCAGCTGTTTGACCTCATTCTCCTATTACTCCTTTGTCCTGCTGTGCACTACTGCTGGCTCCTGGGCTCCCCACCAGCATTGCCTGCACCCCTCAAATCACTCCTGCTCTTTCCCTGGTCAGCTGCTATTCTGACAGTTGATCACCCATCCCTGCTGATGCTTTATGGTGCTAAGCTGGAGCACCCCAGATGAGGTTCAGTCCTTGCATTCGTACAGGATCAGGCTCTGTAATATCAGCAGTTTTATGGCTCTGACTGAGAATCGCTACGTGCTCTTGGAACATTCACCGGAGGGCAATGGTTTAGGACCTTTGCCAAATATGGCTTTAGGAAAATCTAGTGTATATTTCTGTCCTGCACATTTGAACACTTTTTGATGACATTTTGTCCAGTATTCAGTATCCAGCTGAGAGTTTAGAACTGATTGCCCACTAGTAGTACAAGCTTGTCAGAGCCTGCTCCTCCAAACCACGTGGATCTAACTGTTATGATAAAAATTCAAACAAGGCAAGAGGAACAGAAACTATATTAGGATAGGAAGTGAATAATCACTCCTGCAGAAAGGCAGAGCAGGAGGGAGGGACCAAGCCAAGTATTGGATGTAGTTCCTCCTGGGTATTCCCAGAAAGGCTTTTAAATTAGAATAACCTAAAGGGCTTTTCTGTTAACGATTTCAGAGTGACTTGTGTTTAAAGGTGGATGCAGAATGTGCTGTGTGTTCTTTTATCCACTTCAAAGCTGTAGCTTGTGCAGACAGGGTAAACAACCAGAGGTCACTCAGTAAATCTGGGTCGTGGAACTTCTGTTAGAGAGGCAGTCAGTCCAGCATTGAAAATGAGGTCTGTCTGTGTAGAGAAGTTCTGCAGAAGTGTCTGAAAGGCACACTGGCTGCTGGTTCATCTGGGAACAACCAAGCTGGGGCCCTGGTAGAGAGCTTGACTAGGGGCCTTCCTAGGGAAAACAGCTGAAAACATTTTTAAATACCCTAGATTATCAGTTAAGAAATATGACTGAGCCGTGTGACTTTTTATGGGTCTGAATGAAAAAATGAGTACCAAAGATCTGGTGAGAGGTGCAGGTGCTTCTGTAAGGTCCTTATGAAAAGTAGAATTTTGCTAAATGTATCGGAGTTTGAGTAATTTTATATGGTCTTTTTTTTTTTTTTTTCCCCCCCCCCCCAATCTTTCCTCAGAAATGTTACCACTTCGTATTCCAGCGCTACCGTCTGGAACACTACACAGTCTCCTCTAACTGGCTGGCTCTGGGGACTGTCTTTCTCTTTGGCCTTTTGTCATTGTCACGTTCTGTTGCCTTATTCAGAGGTTGGTATTTTAGATTTGTTTCGTGCTTTCCTGGCTATTGGTGTTGGCAAGTCTTAAGGCCTGCCAAAGTTGTGCTGCTTTGACTATAGCAGCACAGTAGATACAAAGAACCTCAAAAGTTTGGATGTTGTTGTAGGGAAAGGAATAAGTTTGAATGGTCTCCATTATTGACTGATTATGTGTGTGTGTGTATGTATATGTATCACTGGAATTATATGTTAAAAATCTGCTGCCCTTCATCTTCAGCCAGTACAACTATACTGATATAACCTGTACCCAGACTAGTATTAAAGCAGATACTTTAAACACATGATCCCACTTGAAAAAGTATTTTCTCATGTAAAACTTGTAATGAGGTGCATGTATCCTTAATGGAGATGGATTAGATATGGTCCTTCAGTACTTTCTTGAATCAGAGCCATGCAGTGAACCTTCCCATGTTGTCAATTTTTTTTCTTTCTTGATGGTAGCCATTGACAGTGAGGGCAGGAGAAGGTGAATAAAGGTGGTAGCGTACAAGCACTTTTAAAGGGAGGGGGAGCTTTGGAATCCAGCCACTTTTTAACATGGACCAATTCATTTATTCAAGAAGTTATCAGTTTAAAAGTTCTGTATGAACGATTTTTTGTAGTTTTTCAAAAGTAGTCATGTAGATATCGCCCATTTTTTTTAGCCTTATTTACTACTTTCTGCCTTCCATAGGCTACCATGGGCCCCTGGACCTGTACCCAGAATTTCACAGGATTGCTACTGACCCCAGTATTCACACTGTGCCAGAGGGGAGGCAAGTTAATGTCTGCGTGGGAAAGGAGTGGCACAGATTTCCAAGCAGCTTTCTTCTGCCAGATAAGTAAGTTGCTTTATGTAAAAGCTATAATTTGGTGAGATTCATAAGGAGGGACACTTCTCCTAAGAAGTATTTATGGAAGTAACCTTCAAGACCTTGTACCTCTGTTGACACCAGCGTATGCAAAACAAGGGATTCTGAAGTTTGTTGTCAGCAGATTGTGTTGGCCAGAAGCTACTGAAAATTTGTAGTGGGACTCCTCCTCTAGCAAGGCTGTCTTCCCTCAGGAATGAAATGTCCTTCATTATGCTTTTGGGTTTTTTCACACAAAATGTTACTAGCTCCTGCCTTTTCCTGCTGGGCTTTCTGACACTTCTCTGCAGTTGGCAGCTCCAGTTCATCCTGTCAGAATTCAGGGGCCAGTTACCAAAACCGTTTGCCAAGGGACCAATGGCCACGCGGATCATTCCCACTGACATGAACGACCAAAACAAGGAAGAGCCATCTCGATACGTAAGGATTATATTCCTGTTTTCTTTTCCTTACCTTACTGTATAATTTGTATTAATATAATGCCTATGATTGCATGTCCCCATTTTGTTTCCTGGGGACCATACAAGTTACAGAACAAAAATGACCTTTCTGCAGCACTTGGAAATTTCCCTATTTATGTGAGTGGCTTCTATTTGCATTTTATCTGCCTATTTTTCCTTTAAAGACATAATAATAATAAAGTAGTAACAATTCCTAGTTATTGCAATTTGGGGTTTAGTATAATGTGTTACTGTGATCACAGGAAACTGAACTGAATGAGTAGTTTGAAATTCCCCACAGAAAATGTTTATCACTGAGCAGGGATGGAAATTTTCCTTTGTGCTTTCCTTTCTTTTAAAATCTAAATGTATTCATTATATTTTCAACTGAGAAGGAGGAACTTAATTTGGAACTTCACTGAAAAAATTGCATCAGTGATTTCAGTGGGAATCTGTTAAGATAATGTATACTGGTATTATTAATTTGTTATTTTTCCTGGTTGTATTGTGTTACCTAAACAGAAACAGTGCATGCATATGAATATTTAAAAAATATTGTTGGCTAACTACTTTAGAATTATTTAGCAGGTTAAATCTTAGCAGTGCACTAAATACTCTTTGCAGTGCACTCGATACTTAGTCATCCTTTCGCTTTTGTCCTAAGGGTTGAATGAGAGGAACTGCCAGGAAATGCATAGTCCCTTCTTCATTCTCTCTTTTTGCTACGTCCATATTTTCCTGTGTCCATCAGTACGTATGAAGCACTCACGTGTACTGAACCAGGTCTCTGGTTTACATGCGTGGGTCTATCCTGCTTGAAGACATCATACGTGTGCTTGTTTACGTGGCTTATGACTTTGACCTTTTAGATATTGTACAGGCACTTGTAACAGAAGCAGATGGAAGGCAGTACTATAACCCAGGAGCAAACTCTGTGGGTAAAAACAGGCATCTATCTTCTGGGTTAAAGCTCTCTTATTTTGAGCCTCATTATGTAGTTACTGGAAATGGGAAGGAGGCGTGTTCCCACCTGAGAGAAGCTGTCTGCTGCAGTGCATTTAATTTACAAAATCTTTAACTGTGGCATATTTTTAGCACAGACAGCTGGCTGTTGCACAGCCTGTGACTAATGGAGCAAAACACACTTTTGTTTCGTGGTTGTTTCTTAATGTCACCCTGCAATTTTGTTATTTCTCATGCAAGCAAAAGGGCCTAGGACATGAGAAATTAGTTATTAAATATGAATTTTAAATGGGGTTTTAAAACTTCTGCTTCTAACGTAGTAACACCAAGAAAACAATATCTTTTCTGAAGTTTAGTGAGCTTATGAGTGCAAGCATACCCAGATTTGGGGGAAAAAAAAAAGTTAGCAAGCACTGGAAAAGACCATCATAGCAAATAAATCTAAATAGCATGAGTGTGTTGGTCATTTAAAGGGGAGAAAAGAAATGGTTCAGAAGGATTATCTGAGCCATGGACAGCTTAAAAACAATTAATGGCTGCAGAAATGGGACTGATCTCTCTGTTTCAAGTGTAAGTATCTATTACTGCTCTGCTTGGAAAGGGAAGAGTAAATCTCAGTGTTTCTGTTGCTATGAGACGCTGGGGAAAAGAATGATTTGATCTTCCTGTTATGCAATTCTTCCTTCCTTAATCATGTTGAACAGCACTTAACTTGTACTTGTTCTACTGGTGAGATGCATTTGTCTCTGAAGCTGCTAAGAAAGATATAAGGAGTATTATTTCTTATAAAGATGTATCCAAGCAGGAACAGCAGATTAGGCCTAAAAGCTGAAACTGTTAAAAACTTCTGAATTCAGAGGAAGCTTTTTTTAAACCCATTTTATTTTCACTTCTTTTCCAATTCCCTTTAACTCTGTTTTGAACCATAGGAACTACCTGAAGCTTGGTCTCATTTTTTGAAATACGCATTTGAGTGATCAGTAAAACATCTCTTGTTATGCTCAAATGGTTGAACTTTATCTGTGGTAAACAAGACAAGCTCCTGTTGTGCTCTATGTGGCCAGGCTAACGTCCATCCAGACACATGTGGCTGCAGCAGTGCAGCAGCAAGCTGTGCCCTTAGCTCCATCTCTGTACTATACTGTGCCCACTTCTGTTATTCAGGATGTGATCAAATGTAGTTCTTCACCATTTAGGATAGTGGTTCCATCAAATAAAAAAAAAAAAAAAGAGGAAAAGGAAAGGAGAACAGAAGAAGATAGGCTGTAATTTAGAAATTCCTTGCAGCTCCCTTCACTAAGACTGACTTCTTTCTACAAAAAAATATTTCAAGGTCTGTACACCATCAAAGTCTTGTGTAAATCACCAAATAGATTCGTAGGTGCTGTGTTGGCCCTCTGACCAGGTTGAATATTATCCTTAGCATCAGTGTTAACTCACAAGAATACACTGTGCTCTACTTGGAATGGTAGAAGGGAAAGCTGTCTTTGACCTGGCAGGTAATTCATGTGCACTGGAAGTGCCAGTCCTTTTTGGGGAGCATTTAGAATGTGGTGAGATCAGTCTTAGTGCTTGAGGCAGTAACTTGTCTTTCTCTGAACAATTCTACATCACTTACAGAGAAACCTGGTTAGTGGTTTGGGAGTCTTTTCACTAATGAGCCAGAACCTCTCTGAGGGCCCGGAATTTTCTTTTCATACAGTGCAAGAAGTAGATTCAACATTCTCCTCAGCTGAGTTTACCATGGTGTAATTTCATTTGCCACTCAGTTGTGATGCCACAGAGCCATCTGGTATCCACCTAATTAAATTGTTTTCAGCCTAAATTGTTACAATAAACCCCAAAGATGCTTCAGAAAAGTGAATTCAAGCATGTCCAAGGAAATTTGCAATAACATTTTGTGGGAGAGCAAACTGAAATTTGGGATCCCTCAAGGAGGAGTTTGAGCAAGTAAGACAGAATAAGACATAGTCATCCTGGAGAATCTCATCTGCCTGCATTTAAGATAACTGATGGATAGAGGCCTTTGCAAACCTGGTTTAAGGGGCCTTAGCTTTTTGACTAATCCGGCTATAGCTGCCCTGCCTTTTTCTTCGTCTTTTCAGTGTGGCAAACTCAGGCAGTGACTCTAAGAAAATTTTTTTCCTTGCTGAAGCACTTGGTCATCACACATTACCATTTTTATTTTGACTCAATGAGAGGTACACACTCTTGTGCAGTCAACAAGACACAACTCTGTGTGTGCGTGTTGTGTTCTGACATTGTTAAAAGGAAAACTGCCACTTGGGAGAGCTGGCCTCCTAAGGAGGGCATACAGATCTCTCATAAAGGTCACGGGCACTCTGTGTAAAAGTCAGTGAAATCAAATGGACCAGGACTTGCTGCTGCCCAAACTTGATCACGCTCCTTCCACCTCGCATGTAACTTACTGAGTTCTCCTCCTGATAGGGTCCTTAAGGCCTTCCCTTCCAGCCCCTGTTGCCCTGTTTGCAAAAAAAGGAAATAAATCTGGAGGGGTCTGTTGTTTTACAAAGGTCAGTAATGATCTGACCTTGCAAGAACTCCCCTATAGCCCCTTTTCATTGAAAAGCTTGTGCATAAAAAAAGCAAGATTGCTATCTACATTCTGTTCAGAGCCCCTGAGGGATGAACAAGGACCAAGAGTTTGTGTCACCAGCTGCGAGACAATTTTTTGTGTGTGCACTGTTGACAAAATCTGATTATGCTGTGTGATGCTGGGGCCATGGAGCCAGTTTCCAGACAATAATACAGCACAGTGATTTGTTTTTGTTGCTGTCTTCAGTGAAAGCTTATAACTAGTTTACACTGAGACGCATGGTGGAAGTTCTTAGCCTAGTACAAAAATTTCCTTACAGGTCACTTAGCCTCCTTATTAATTTCTTTCCTGAAAGGGCAGTGGGTTGCTCAGTGGAATGTGTCCTTGTTTATACGTGGGAGGGGGAAGGAAGCGTGTTAGAAGTGTGCATCTGTCCTCCTGTTCATGCAGTTGGGAGTTCAAACACAGGCTTGGCAGCAGCATAACGTTTGGGAGGAGCTGGCTGGACCTTTTATTTGTGCGTACTTCACTGGTGTCTTTTCTGAGAAATCTCAAAATACTGTACTACATTCTAATGTACAATGCTTAGTGACGTATCAGAGGCAGAATGGGGATCCTTCGTTCCCTTTGGCAGTTGAGAAGACTGGAGTGCCACAAGGATGGTTTGTGGACCAACAGAGCTAGAAAAAGCATCCAGGAGTTTTGTGCGTTCTCTGTTCACAGCCTGGAGATAGAACTTTCAGATCAGTCTGACTGGAAGAGGCACAAGAGCATAAGGTAGTTGCAAGCTTCAGTCCTGTTGACTCCTAGTACCTCTCAGGTCGCTACTGCAAGCTTTGCCAGAAAACTCAGCCAGTACCAGATGTGAGAAAATGTGATCCTTGGCTGACAAAACCTAGTGTCAGCAAAATACTTAAGTACAGAGGCACTAACTGGTAGAACTTGCTTTGCTCCAGTGGCTGAAAATCATTATGCCAGCAAAAGCTCAGCCTTGCTGCTCTACACTGCATCTGTAAGGGACTAATTTTTCTGGTGTATTGTAATGATATAACTACCTTGGTACAATTTAAACATGGCCTTAGGCTTGGGATTATTTCACTTTTGAAAATGTGACTTAGATCACTTAAAGACAATTAGATCTTCAACAGGAGGACATCAGCCCTCATTTGTAACCTGTCCTCTCTTCTAGATCTGTTACACTCAGTGCAGAGGTTTCTACACACTGTAGCCTCTTGTTGGGCTAACTTGTATGAAACTTATTCCACACCTGATGGTTATTATTAAAATTGTCCTAGTAGGAGCTCAAGTCTTCTTTGTAGCTGACAGTTCACGTTTGTCTTGGCAGAGTTTTTATTCCTCAGCAGCTCAGGTGAACATCTGTAGGGTACCTGTGAGGAGTGGGGAGAAGAGGTTGGGGCTATTAGCCAGAAAGGACACAGGATATTCGCATAAATGAACAGTACACCCTGTTCATAGCTAAGAGCACTCTCCCCAGCAGGAAGGAGAAGGTTGCATAATGCAAGTCTCCCAAGGATGTTGCCCGCAGCTCATTTAACTTGGGAGGTCACACACATATAATTAATTTCTGTGATGCTTCCTTGAATGCATTTTCATAATTTGGCAGGGTGTTGCCAAATATTTTGGTCAGGGCAGAGGCAGTTACTTGCGTCGTAGGCAGCTGATGAAGGTGTGACTGTGCTGCTATAGGAGAGGCGCCATGCGATGTCCGTCTGGTGCAAGTAAGGCAGTGATGGTCATCAGTGCTACAGGACAGGTTATTGGTGCACAAACCCCACCATAATTTGTGCCAGACAACAAGCTTACTCTACCAGAACGACTCACTCAGAATATTTTACCATGTATCCTGCATGAAGTGTTTCACCTGTTGCTAGAAATTTAACCCCCTTCTCATTGATAAGTAACAGCCTGTATAAATGAACACATACAACCAGAAGCCTACAGGAAATAAACCATAAGAATGTCTGTCTCTCTGCAGATTGACATTTCCAGATGCCACTATCTGGTGGACTTGGATACAACAGCTGAAACCCCAAGGGAGCCAAGATATTCCTCCAACAAAGAAGAGTGGGTAACCATTGCCTACAAGCCATTCCTAGATACTTCCAGGTATGCTTTATACCTTTGAGAGGGAGGGAGAAAGGCTGGCAGGTCTGTGAACTGATTCAGTTCAATTATCCACTTGCAAAAATAGCTAAATACAGGGAGGAAAGATATGTTGGTAAATGCCAACATGAAATCCAGTTTCCAGTAAAGGCAACTTGCTGGTCACAGTGGAACCTTTGTCAGATAATGTACTTGCAATGTTTATGACCTAGGTTGCTTCAGAGGGTGAAGCTAGCTGAGAAGGGTGGTGAGAAGGATTATTTTTAAAAAGACTGCTCCCTGTGCACTTCTTGCTGAAGTAATGTTTTTTGTTTTGCTTTCTAAAGAAATGAGGTGTGTGCGATCTCCTCCCTGCAGACTTTTGAATCTGCTGTCTCATTTCAGCCAAATTTAAGGCAGGTCTAAGCTGGTCTCAAAGAGCAGGAGCTCATAAAGATTTGATGAAAACTGACAGACAGAGAGGAAGCAGTCTCATCGAGTGAAAAGTCAGTAAGATCACACCTTTATTAGGCATCAGAAAATCCATGGAAAAGACCTGTTAGATCTGTTCCCCATTAGTTCTGCTGCTCACTGAACAACTTGCTGGTGTGTCTGAACAGGAGAAGCAGAGATTAAAATTGCTCTGCTCCAGGCTAACGGGGTGGAATCAGGATTGTCAAACTGGGAATGTTGTTAATACATTCCTCCAGATACAGAAATCTTCATCTATAAGGGGATGGTTAAATGACTAACATTTAAAGCTCTGGTCATGTAGCTGTGATAACAGGACAGAGAGGCTGACTGCAAAAATCTCTGTAAAAAACACACAGTTCAGTGCTATCCTATTTTCTATGCGAGTCTGCAACTGTAGGCCTTACTTACCACAGGATGGACACGAGTGTTTCGAATCCTCCACTTTCACCCAAGCTTTTTTTGTTCATTCCTAACTTGGCTGGGGATTTTTTCTGTAAGGTGTGTGTACATCTGATAGCATCTCAATCCTGACCCTGCTGCAGCCTGCAATGCTGACTGGAATCAGTACAAAGAGTAAAGCTAGAGCCAAATGCATAGCTCAGTACTGAGCTGAGTCCATGTCACTCTCTTCACTCCTTTCCTGCTGTTTCTGTATGAGTCACTGACATTTTTCTTTCTTCTTTTTTCCCCTCCCTCTTATTAGGGGAAATTGATAAGATTAAGGAATTTCTCTATTTACAGCTAAACCCCTGTGTCTTGCCACACCTAAATATCTGTCTGGCTTCTCAGGAATTTGGCTGAATACACAGGTGGATGTGGTGTTGCAGCGCTGTGCTTCTTAGGGGAAATGCTGTCAAAGTACCTCCTGCCAGCCTGAGGCTGGTAATTTATTCCCAAGCTTGGCAGTGAAGACCTGTACAATCATTTCAGTTTGATATATGATACTGTGTGTTGCACTTAGGTCATCTAAACTCCAGCAACATTCCCAAGCTGTATGCTTTTTGTTGGCTAAGTATCTGGGCAAGCCTGCAGCCAAAGCCTAGTAACCCACCCAGTAGAGGGGTGTTGATTTCTGTGTGTGGTCCTTCATGTCTGGCTTGTGAAGGGAGAGTGCCTGTGGCTGGTCCCACTAGAAGTAATGGCTTGGCTTGTTTTAGCAAAGGGAGCATCTCACCGTGGAGCAGCAGCTTGTGAGAAGCTCCGAGGCACAGAGAGATCCCAAAATTTCTGAAGCATCCTGATGAGATGTAAAGGCAGAATAGTGGGGGTGGGAAAGGGGAGCGTACTCCCTGGCTAAGCAATCACAGAGACCTTAGAACAGATCATCAAAAGGTGGTGGGGAGGGAAGGGGATCTTCCTGGCTGCTGTGTCCTCCTTAGCAAGAGGTACTGTTGCATTAGTGGGAGACTGGAATTTAAGAGGGTTTGCAGAATATGTCCCAAGAGGAGATGAGGCAGGCAGATCCTTAGCCCTGCTGGTGTTGCCTGTCAGCCTCCTCCGCTCTTGTTCTTGTGCTGCATGGAAATTCTCCATGCTGTTCCTTATCAACGCCTCACAGCTGGAGCAGAGGGAGAGATGTGGTGTCTTCACCAGTGGAGGAGGCCAGGTTGCCATAGCAGCAGGTCTGATTTCCATCCCTGCTGTTAGTGCCTCCAGAGCTCCCGCAGTTTGGAGCTCTGGGCTCTGTCCCTTCAACAGTCGGCAGGTGGGGCAGCTCCAGCGCACAGCTGTGGTAAAGGACTGGGAGGGCATGTGGGGGTGTCACTGATACTGAGGGATGAGAGAACCGGCGTTGTCTCCCCATCGTGTCACCCTGCTTGTCTGACAGATTCTCTGTTCCCCCTGAAAGAAGAACAGCAAGCCAGGACCCATGGCCTGCCTAGCAGGGCAAATGCGTAGCAGTGGGCACAGCTTTCCAAGACAACTCATGGTACAGTGAAGAGCAGAAAGAACACACCATGCAAGGTCTGATCTGCCCTGGGTTTAGCCAGTGTGTTGTTTAAAGGTATCACATTTAAAATTGAATACTACAGAAAAGGACAAGGCTCTTTTTGTCAGCCCACCCATAACAGCATAAGCGAGAAACTTCAGAAAGGCTTTCTGGATTGCCCACTTCATAATTTTTTGTCATATATTTTTAATTTCTTTCTGTAATTTGGCCTTTGGAGAAGAGGTAGGGTAGATTTGGTGATTCAGGGACTCAGCTGGAGCTTGATACTCTCATGACTCCATCCAGATCTCTTAAACCCTCCCTGTGCTGCAGCTTCCCATTTGGACCAAGCATTTGTTAGCTCCCCACTTATCTCCAGGAGATTGTTGGCAATGAATGAGAGAGTGAGAAACTTCATTAAGTGGTGGCAGGTAAATACCTTTGCGTTGTTTTGCATCAGAGTATTGGAATTTCGCTCTAATGTCCATATAAAGGTTTCTCACAGCAAATGTTCATAGTTGGTCTGTTGAGCTCCTTCCTCTGAATGTGTCATAGCATTCCTAAAATAAGACAGTGTTGTTTGCTTTGGGTTTTTTCCGAGTGTAATTGAGCTTAACTTGCATAAAATAATGGGGCTCAAAGCAATTCTCAGAATGGGAAATGACACAAGTTTTGCAGTAGATTGGCAGCTGACAGATGAGTTAACTAGAGGCAATTGCAGATCTGCCTAGCAGTAGAAGGAGATGCAAGGATCTGTCTCACCATGCAGACCCAGGCATCACCTCTTGTCCTTTTGTGGAGATTAGAAAACCTCGTTTGCAAAGCAAGTACTACTGGTGTGGTTTTGTGTCTGTTGCTGCAGCAGTCTCCCTTGCTGCCAGTCAGCCCTTGCTTTGCTTGTTCTGTCCTTATCCCAGTCTGTGGAGTACTGAGCCTGCTAGAGTGGGCACTGCAGAGCCTCAGAGGCAGGACACTGAGAGCTGCCACTCCATCCATCTGGAAGGTTCTCTGAGGGCATTAGTGATGCCCTGAGACTGTTTCAGGGATGCAACAAATACTTCTCTAGTCCAGAAAGTTGTTGTCAGGCCTGATAGCAGAGAAGGTATGGAAATCCCAGCAAAAACACTTCTGTGTTTCTTGTTTCATTTTAATTTGAGACAACAAATCTAGGCAGAGTCTCTCTTAGAGCTGAGAAATTGATCATTCCAGGAGGTTTAGCTGCAGGAGAGCAGCAGTAACACAATTGTAGCAGCATGTTAGGTCCTAGAAGTTGGTAAGCTGAAAGGATCCCAGAGCTAGGAGATCTGTGGGGAGAGTTCTTCCCAGGGTGGGACACACAGGCCTGTGGGTAGAGTCAGCAAAGATACATCAAGAACTCCTATAGTGATCCAGGCTGCTTGCATTTCTGAGCGTGTACCTCCCCCCTCCCCTTCCCCAGCTCAGCAGAATGACGCATCTCTCAACTCTGGCACCTGCTTCCACACAATGATTTGGAAATGTCCCCTGCTACCTATGAAGTAAGTGTAAAAACACTATGAAATTGCAGGGTTTTTTTATAAAAGGGAGGGAGGAACAGAAGAAGTGTCACTTTGAACTGAGCTGTGAGGGAAGCTGCCAGTGTAGATCTCAGGTCTGCAGCTCAGTGGCTGCAGAGCAAGGAGCATTTGGGGAAAAAAAAAACCCATCAAACACCTCCCCACCCAAACTCCAGCTCGTGTTCTTTGAAAATAAATGACCCCAGCAGTTCAATTCGCTCCTGCTGAACTGGAGGCTTCTGGGACTCCCTGCGAGTCTCACATTGACGTCAGCAAGTGCAAATGTAAATCTCAGCTGGCTCTGATAAATGGTGCTGCTAATTGAATTAGAGAGCACTCCAAGCCACCAGCTAATTATGCTCCTCAGGAAGCTGCTTTGCCAAGGTCCATTTAATTCTATATTGGCTGAGTACTCCGAATCTGGCACAGAAAAGGGGAAATATATTACAGCTCCCCACTGAGGAGCACATATTTTCCAGCTCTTTAGGCTGAGCTGTCTGCTTGCTCCAGACACTTGGGTTTTCCATCAAAAAAAATATTCGTAGTGAAAAATTAATGATTCGGTCACCTTGTTCTAACATATCATTACCCTGATTTGGTAAGAGACTGTCTCATTCCCTTTGATGGTGCTTTGCTCCATGTTACATGAAATGTTTTCCCTACTTCTGTTTTACAACTAGCTAAATTACTTCTTAGGTGCATGGTTGGTACAAAATTTAACACCTAGACAGTAAGTTTTCAGAGAGCTTTGATCCTCAGCTTCCTTTGTATGCCTGTAAGCTAGAAGGTACTAGGTCCTGCCCATGTGGCAGAGATGCAACTTCCTCCTGCCTCTTCTTTCTGCCATTCCCTTCTCTTCTTCCTTCTCAAGAATTCTGCTGCCACTGGGGTCAGAAGTTCAGGTTACGAGATGCAATTAGGAAGAATCTCCCACCATTACATGTATCTAACTGGATCCATTCCCTGTCTGTGAGCCTGGGAGGGGGCACTTGAACATCTTCACTTAGCAGTCCTTGCTTCCATTCCAGAAGAGCCTCCCCTGGCATTAGTAGAACAGGACTGTTGAGTTGCTTTCTCCTGAAGTCCCGTAGGGAATTGTCAGAAATACGCTCAGCACCAAACGGCGCTGTGGTTCCAGCTCTGCTGGGCCTGCTGGTAACTGCACATCTCTCCCAGCTGAGAGCTGCTCTGGGTGCTGCAGCAGTCACTCCACTAGAAGCCAAAAACTGGAAAAGAATTCAGTCTCCCCCTGGAAAGTGGCATACCTCCCAAGCCTCCAGAGCACAGCAAGAGCTGGGCAGAATTTGCCAGTTGCCTGGTTCTGGCCTGGAGCTCACCACTGGAAGAGCATCAGTGTGCCAGCAGCATTGCACTAGACCCTTGGCTACCCACCTTGGAGTGATTGTGGCCTCGATCTTGCTACTAACATACTGCTTGGGAGCCCTGTGCTGATTAAGGCTACACACACTCACAGTCTCTGGGGGACAAATTTAGAAGTAAATGCAAATAGAACATTATATATATTCACTGTCATCTGTCATCCCAACCTCTTCCATGTGCCATCTGTTGTCTGAGGTTGCTGAGCATGACGAAGCGAGGTGACAGGAGGTAAAGGTTCCCTGTCTGAATTTAAAGCTCTGTCATGACCTCTTGAGCCATAGGTGCATCAGCAGACGTGGTACTCTCATGGCTGCTGCTGAGAGCAGGCATCCAGGGCTTTGCTACTGGGTAGTTACCAGCAGCAGAGAGAGCAGCCTTGTGCTCGTGTCCGGTCCGAGTCTCTTTTCGGTGAGAAAGTTGCTGCTGAGCAAATACAAAGGCTGACTGTATAGCTGTGCAGCAGGTATGTTGGTGCTACCATTTACCGTGCTGTATTCAGGGTTTCATGTTTTTATATCTGCAATGGGATTCTCTGAGCACATAAATATTATTTTTGAGATGACTCTTTTATTTTCTGTTGCCTTTTTTTAACCCATGTCCTTAGACTGGGTAATTTGAACCAATGCAAACTGTTCCCTTTACACTTTTGTAAGTTTTGTTAGTGAAGAGTTATTTTGCTGTGGCACCAGCAGCCTGACTAGCTAACACCTGGTAGAAACCAAGTACTCCTTGTGGACTTGACAGTTTGAGTAATACAACATTTCACCTTGAAGAGCAGGGTGAACTTCACTTTTGAGGTCTCCTTTGGCTAAATGAGATTTATAGCTCTCCATTCTTGGAGCACATACTTCTTGTTTTGCGGGAGCAGTACAAGAACGTAGATCAGCTGTGGCCTTTATACACCAATTCACTCTATTGCTATTTGTCATGAGTGCCTGGGCATTATGTATGACATCCACTGGTGGGAAGAGCAGCTATCTTTCTGCTTTGTGTTTCTCATCATTTTCCACCCTTGATATTATTTTTCCATCAGTCATTCCTGCCTCTCCTTTTTTGATCTTTTTACCAACAGTATTTTCTCTTGCTGTTTCACTGCTGATCTAAACTGTGAAACAGGGAACACTGACATTTAAACTGCTGCTAATAAGGGCTGAGTTGCCAGCAAAGTGAAGAGCACATGGAGAGCTTTTGTCGCTCAGAGTTGTTTCAGGCTGTCTGCAAACTCAGGTTGGTTACGCTGAACTGGCTTAATTGGCAGGAGTGTTTTGCTGCTGTCAGCTCCTAGAATATCCTTTTGTTCTAGAAAGCAAAGCTGAATCCTGCATGTTCTGAACACATGCCATAAAGACCATGTGGGCACAACCATGTGAGCTGCATTGGGCCTGTATTTGAGAATATCAACAAGTAAAAGTACAGGGAGTGTTTCTCACAAAAAAAGAAGAGGAAGCACAGACAGGACAGTAGTGTTTCTGCAGAGCTGTGAGGCACCAGCGCTGAGGGTAAACACAGGGCTTGGTTCTGTCACTTCAGCAGTCAGACCCACCATTACTGGGTGCCCACTGTGCTGGACAGTGCTGGCCCAGTCAGGCTGTCGGTGTGTTGGTGCATCCGGGTCAAGAGGAGGGTGTGAACTGGGTGCTGTTGTCTGACTGCTGTCAGCTCCACGTCTGCATTGAGCGACTGAAAGCATTTTCAGTGCTGCAGACTGTATACTCAGGATCTCAGCCATCAGCTGAAGGTGCTGCCTTCCTCTCTGTCCCTGAGCTAAACCGCACAAGGCTTAATTCAACAAATTACTTCATCTTAAACCAAGCACACACCCTGAGCTCTGCGGAATTGTGCTAGTTTCTGTCCCTTTCTTACAATGTAGCCTCAAGCTGGTACTCTACCTTTTCATTTTTTGTGTTCTAAACAGCATCCCAAGCAGCTTGAACAGAGTTGCTTTTTCTTGGTTTTCTTTCTTTTCTTTTTCTTTGCTAAAGGGAATTGCAGTGAAACCACACTGCACAGACAGCAGCCGTGGTAGCAATGGTGGGTTGTCAGGCTCAGAGAAGGAGATGCCAGAATAAGTTCAGCAATGACACGATGTTCATTAGCCACAAGAGATGGAGGAGGAAAATCAAACACTTGTTTTCAAAGGGATGCCTTTGCTTCTAGTGACTGGAGGGAGGGCTGACCTCCAATTTCCAGGCACAAGGAAATGACAGCTGCAACAAATGTTCCTTGTTCAGAATATACCAAAATTACCATCTTCTGCCTAGTTATTTGCCACTAAGAGATTCTACTTTGAACGTGTTCCCAATTCCAGCACCTCAGGAACTCAAAAAGAGCAACCATTTCCAGTGATTCTTTTATTTAGGAACTTTGCTGGGTGCTTTACAATTTGTAAAGGGCCTAAGTATTATCACTGAGCTTTTTGTTCTTTGAAGTGAATTAATCAGCATTTTTATATCGTAAAGCACAAGCTGAGGCTTGGCAAAAAGCAGGCTTACAAGATGCTGGATGCTGAAAGGAGGCAAAGACTCACAGTTAGAAGCAGGACTTGTAAATTTTAGGGATTCAGATTTCCTTAGTCTCTCTGAGGGTAGACGGTATTTTCTGCCTCAGTTTTCCCTCTCCAGTGTGGAAGAATACTGCTTTGTCTGTCTAAAAGAGGGAACGTTTTAGCTGAAAAATGCCTTGTTTCGTGCTTGTATGGCATCTTCTGTAACGGGACCCTGCTGCTGAGTGGTGCTATGCCAATGCAAGTAGATATCACCAGTCTTTTCCTGGATGGTCTTTTGCTTCAAGTTGCAGATTGGGAGCTGCTTGTTCTCAGATGAATTCCAGTGAGGCTGTCTAAGAACCCTGGGAGCCTCCAGGGAGATGTAGTTCACAGTGACAGTTCCTGCCATTGTTTTTTGGACTGCATTTTTGAAAGATACCCTGTGCTGCCTTACAATAAGCAAACAAAACACAATTCATCTTTCTTCTGAAAAAGTGACTTGAATTGGATATCCAGAACTTTGGCTGTGTTACCAGCAAAGCTGTGTGAAATTGCAGTGACCAGCAAGTACATGCTAAATCTGTACCATCCCTGACCACTTAGCATGCTGCAAATCAAATTCAAGTGCTGCTGCTGCTTTTCCAAGCTTTATACATCTGTCAAGGGTTGATAGTTTACCAACAAGTTGATCTTAAACAGACAAAGAGATAAGCTTCAGTGCTGAGGAAGCAAGACTGCCCCAGCTCTGGTTTCAGTAAGTTGCTCAAATTTTTGAAGCTTTTAGCAAGGTTCAGTGCTGCTGCTGAAGGGCATTATATTTGTCCACTTCACATTTAAACCTGGAATTTACTGTTAGTTTGCTCAGTAAGAGAATACATGCATTTAAATAGTACTCGGCTAGCAGAGCTCCAGCAATTAGCAACCAAAGAAAAGGTACTAATTTGATGCAGCCATTGAACCCTCCATGCTTGAGTACTCCACTGGCCCAATTGTGGGGAATACTGTGAAATGCCAGCTCCCAGCACTAGCAGTGCATGGAGTGAATGCTGGCAGCCTGCAGCAAACTGCCATGTAGGCTTTAGAGCAGTCCATCCCTCTTTAATTCAATACCCTCGACAGAAGATCAGCACAAGACAAAATGCCAGTGCCCATCAAAGGTTCTGTCTGCCCTTCAGACGTGTGTGGAGGAACAGGCAGCCAGAAAGACTGGATAGAAGAGGAGATGCCAGGAGCTAAATGCAGCCTTGCTATTTTTCACCTTAATAGCATGCCCAGGGGAATGGGAGGCCTGCCTGTCTGTAAGATACCAAAGGCCCACAGGGCTGTACTGTCTACTTTTTGGACAGTGATAACCAGGATCTAAGTTTTTTTCTTTTATAATTACACAACCTTCCTGGCCTCTGTCCCCCTTAATGGATAGTGGGCAGGCTGCTGCTCTTACAAGGAGAAAACAGGACTGGGCTTCATATGGCTGAACCATTATCATTCCTCATACCACTGAGTCACCAGCCCAAATCTTTTGCACAGCCTCGTTTGTAGCATTTTGAACATACTGGCAAATGAGCGCTTTAAGGATGATTTGTTTTTCCTTTCTGGTTTCAGGTCCTCAAAGCTGCTGCGTGCATTCTACATCCCTCTCCTCTCAGAACAGTACACGTGGTATGCAAACTATACTATTCTGAAATCCCGGAGGTCGAAGCAAACCAGGAAAAAAATGGGAGGCTAGCAACACACCTGGGCAACAAAACCAAAAGCATCTGCTGACACTCTTGGACATCTGCCTAAGCCATTTTCAGTTCCCTTTTTGAAAGACTCTGCTTGTAAGATTGACTAATAAAGATTTCCCATGAAGTGATTTCGCTCTGCAAGCTTCCAGCTGTAAAAAGGGTGCATCATCTGCTTTCAGTTCTCAGTGTCAGGTCTCTGCTCTGCCTACACAGAACATATTGGTAAGAAACCATTTGAAAATCCAGCAGCCACCTACAAACGTATTATCTCTGCTGCTCCCTGTGTTATTATCTGTTACACCAGAGAAGAGAAAAAATGGAGAATAAAAAGGAATGACAGTATGTGGTTCTGCTCCAGGTTGCAATCTGGCACTGGGAAAATCCAGCTCAGCTTCTCTCTTTCTCTCTGTTGTGCCTCCCCCTCCACTGTCCTCAATCTGCTTAACTAGTGCTCGCCTTCTCCTAGGGAATTTTTTCAGGTAACAACGTTTAGGAAAATTATTTTTTTATTAAAGAAAAATGAAGGGGAAAATAGGAAAATGTCCGCTGAGAGACAATTAACTGAAATGCACTGAATCTCAAGGAATGAAGTGATGATATGCATCACAGAGAAACAGCCTAAAGTTGCTCTGTCCAGGAGACACTTTCAAGGATAAACCTGTGCTTTTGGGAGAAAAAAGCCCAAACTTCGGAATTGAGCCAATTATCTGTTTTAATGGGATCAGTGGTTTTATCTGTGAGACCCAAGGGTTTGTTCAGTATTTATAATTTTTTTTTAAGATACCTGTAACATCCTGTGAATTCTAGACTACAGCATCTTAAAATTTCTGGAAAAAGCCAGAGAGGAGAAGGATTCATTATTTTATTTGCTGTTCTGTTTCCCATAATAGACAGTATGTGTTACATTGGTCCAATATGCTTCAGAGCGATGCTGTATTTATTATATCTCCATTCTAAAAACATGCAGTATGACAAGCCAGATGAAGGGAACCGTTTTCACTCACATTCTTGGAACTCTATGGGGATGGAATGGCATGAGATGGAGCAGAGAGGAAGTTCCTTTTGCAAAAAGGCTGCACAAGCTCCATGCCACGTTGTGACTGTGATTAGATTGGTCTGGGTAGGCAGTGACAGAGAGCCAGAGCAGGTGGGTCAGGAAGCAGAATTGTGTGTTTGGAAGCTGTTGGGATCCAGACAGAAAAGCACATGTCTCTGAGAATACATGTGCTGGTCCAGGTGTAGGATGCAATGCTAGGCAGGTCTCTTGGCCAGTCTGCAGAGAACTGATGAGGCTGTAATCTAACATGATACTCCTGGGACAAAGCAGGAGGAACTAGATGAGGAGCGAGGCATGGGCTGAATCATAAGAGCATCTTTAGAAACAGGGAAGCGTGTTCTGAATGCCCTGCATTTCATTAAGGAGGAGGTTTTTTTAATGGCACTGTGCTCTTTTGGAAACACAGCTTATAAAGTGCAAAACATGGCAAGAGCAAACAGTGTGCTGCTCCGTTGTGTGGATGATTACAGCATGGAGAATGCAGTTCTCTTCCATTGCACCCTCGCTGTATGGAGGAGCAGTTTGAAGCTGAGACTCTAAATTCAAACTTTGAAGGCTTAGGGAACCATCTGTGGTGTCTAAATCTTGGCTCTCTCCAGAGAGATGGATTTCACCCTGTGCAAGTACCACCCTTCCTAAGGTCACAGGTGGAGCTTCAAGGTTTTCAGCCAAGCAACTGGTGTTTTTGGTGAGTTGGTCTGGACGATCAGAGTCACATTGCAGATCAATGCTGTAGTGTCTGTATTCCTCCACCTCCCTCCAGCCAGCTCTACCCTCATAAAAGTTCACATGCTGAATGGGGCTCTACAGTGCCAGTAAATCAATACCAAAACTCTTGCCCAGCTTGTTGCCTCTCCCCTTGCAAATCCCTGACCTTAAATCAAATAAAGAAACAAATGCAGTTAAAGAACCAATTGCACCTTTTTCTGGTGCTGTTTGTGTGACTGTTCCATGTTGTCATAGCCCATAAGCTCTTGTTTAACATGAAAAGACAGTAAACATCCACTTTAAATGACTGTGGCTGGTTCACCTTCCTCTCTGCTTTGATTTGTGTTTTGGGGTGGTGGTGGGAGACTGATAACTTGAGAATAATTAGGAGTTATCAATGTTTTCCACAAGAATATGATAAATGTTTGGTTCCTGGTAGTAAACACAGGTGCAGCTACAGGTCGTGGACAGCTGGACAGCAGGCAGCATTGTGTTCCAGAGTTTCACGTCAAGGCAGGGACTCCCATTTTGCTGCTTAATATGCAAACAGGTGGAGTCAGTCCTGCTACCTGGAGAGTTTGCAGGCTAAAGAGATGAGGCAGAGAAAGGAGGGTTGTTCCTGTCATCGATGACAAGAGTAGATCACATTTTAATGCTGATTTCAGGGGGAAGTTGGGAGTCTCTGCTGCAAAGATCTTGACCCAACAACTCATTTAAGGTCACGCGTGGAGTCTGCCTACAAATTGTTTCTCATCTAGTGTCTTTGGCACAGAAGCAATCTTCCTAGCAGCAGGCAAAGGAGTCAGTCCCTGGTAATGCATAATTGTCATGGGTAGTGCTGCTCAGCAGGCAGAATGTAGCATCGAGGCAGTTTATCCATCCTAGCTGAGGCCACTGGGAATGAGAAGGTGAAGTTGCTGTTAATGGTGTTTCTGTCGTAAAGACTGAGGCATAGGTGAGATTTCTGATAGGAAATGCTAAAGCTCCCCTCATCTTTTCATAATTCACAATTCAGGACTGTTGGATTCTGTGCAGTGCTGAGATTAAGCAAAAAGCCATCAATAATGAGAAGATGACTAGTAATTAAACAGACTTGATGGAGTGAGCAGGACAAGTCCAAGGAGTATGTGCATCAGGGCCTGAGGAAGAGCCTCCAAGAATCACCTGTCTGGCTCAGGTTTAGCTGGATGAAGGACCTTGCTTTTTGAATGCAGATGTGGATGCAAAGAGGTTTGTGCCAAAAGGTGGAGCTGCATCCAAACCAAAACATTTTTAAAGGCGTTTTGTAGTTTGCTTTATGGGTTTTGTTAGCAAGCTTGAGGGAGAAGCTTCTGATTTTTTTGTTTGTTTGTTTTTGCTTTGACCCTAATTAAAGCAAATGTATGATCTCATCGTGAGGAGGCAGGTTTGGGACAGCTAATTTATGATCTCTATTTAAAAAAAAAAAAAAAAGTCTTGTGGTTTGTGAACTTGTGGGTAAAGGATCAAGCCACAAATTGCTGATCTGCCTCAGCGGGATTCCCTGCCTAGAGTTGCCTTGGGCAGAGAGGGGTGTTGTGACCAAACCTGTTGGGTAGTACCTGAGGTCAGTGTAGGCAATCCACCTTTGGCTCCTTTCTGTCTTTGGAGGGAAGGGCTCTTTGTATTATTCTGGCTGTTTCTAGAAAAGCAGTATCTAGATGGATTTCTACGCTGCTGGTAGTGTCTGACCTGACACTCTGACAGAAGCTGGTTTCTTGACAGAACCATAGATGGGCATAACCCTGCTAGATCAGGTGTCTCACATGGAGCTGAGAGATGGCACAAGACACTGGCAGTTGGTCAGAGAATGTACAGGGATATCAGGATTTCTAACCTCCTCTTTGCTGGCAGTATTTCTCCACCTTTTAACTGAGGCTGAGAGCACTGCAGGTTGGACAAGTGCTGCTGTGAAATACCGGGACCCAGGAAATTTAATCTTGTCTGAGCTCAACTAGCCCTTGGAATGAGGAGCACTGAGGTGGAGAGTCCCTGAGGAAGCGCCAGCAGTGAGACAGATGGACACTCTCAGAGATAGGCTGAGGGAAGGCATGATTTCCACAGAACTACTTTTTCCTGCTTGTCTGCTGCAGCAGGATTTAAGGTCCGTTGCAGTTTTTCTCCTGCTTTTTCTGCCTTTTCCTGGGGTTCAGCTATAATCTGCTTCAAAGGCAGGCATATGTGTAAACTGGTCAGCTCCACCGAGGGTTCTGCCTGGGCTCAGGGCCCTCAGAAGAGGGCCCTCCAGAACTCAGTCATGTTTCCAAGGATGTTCCATGCAAATTTTTGTTTTTGAAAGGAAAACAAAAACACTGCACCTCCACAGAAGTGATGCTTAAGCTTTCCTTGACTCAGGGCTTTTTCCTGTTCAAAGTTTTTTGTCTTCTGCAGGAAAATCATTTGAAGTAATGTACTCTCTTAGAATCCAGGAGCTGAGAGTGTATGACGTAGAGGCAAAGGAGTTGAGGCGTGTGGAGCAGATACCTTGGACATGAGTAACAGTGAATAAAACGTTGAGGGCTGCATGTAAGGCTGGGAAGGCTTCAGGCTGGCTTAGCTGGAAATGCCACAGGCTAGCTTTGGGGTGTGACTGCAGATTGCACGGGAGTTGGTTGTTCTAGGACACGTTTATGGCAGGGTGGCAGCTCTGTCGTGTCAGAGTGCAGCTGCTGTTTGACAACTCTTCTCTCCGTAGGAATGGGGAAGCACTTTCACTTGCCATGTTGCATTGCCAACACCCAGAAGATTTCTGTAAAGCATGGTGGGGTGAAAAAGCAGACTCTGCATCCTCTGATACTGAAGGTTCTGGACCAGTTTAGTACCTGGGACAGTGATGGTCAGTGTCAAATAACTACTGTTTCCCCTCCCCTATTCCCCTGCCTTGTCTCTAGTGAGCCGAATGCTTAGACAGTTCATAGTTGTGGCCTTATTGATAACAGCTTTTTTCTTGGTACTTGTACTAACCTCAGAAGCAGGGACTATCTTATTGAGTCCACCTCACGTCCAACAGAAGTTATGGAGTTACTAGGTTGTGTGTTTATTTTGTTGCTGTAAGAAGGGCTCAAAGTAGCAGTGGAGGGAGGCCCTGGTAGTGAAGTGGTTTTGAGTTCCTAGCTCTTCAGGCACTGCTGGAGGAAAGAGCTGTGAATTTCTTTCTCCTCCAGCATCTGTCAGAACCTGAGCGTCATCTCAGCCCTGCTGAGACTCACTGTGTGTCCCGGTGAATAACTTGATCTGCTTGGCTGGGAGAGGTACTAATGAGGCCCCATCTGTCTGCTCTGCAAACTCCAGCTGTGTCTGCTAAGCAGCAAAAAAAGGTCAGGGTGGATGTGTGGGGTGACAAAGCATCACAGCCTAGCAGGACTCGTGATCAATGCCTTCCTGCCCGGTTCTTCATCCAGAGGGTAGCTGCTGGGGAGGACTGTAGAGCTACAGTCAGGACGGGACAGAGGTGCATTTTGCTGTGGGATCAATGAAGAGGGTCTGAGGCTGGATGTAGAGGCAGAAACTCCCTCGCCTCCCCCAGACAAGTGCATATGATTGGGTGCCTGACTAGACTAGAGAGCCGGGAGCATGGGTTCTCCTGCAACCCACTTGGCCTGTAACTCCATGAATCCTGCTTGGGAGGTAAATTACTGGGTGAATGTTCAAACATGATTGACAAAACAGGCTTCAGACAAGTTTTTCTAGAAAAGGCAAGTTTCTTTGTGTTCTACCCAGCACAGAGAAGGCTGCTCTGGCCTTCTCTGGTTTCTAATAGTCTGTGTGACGGACGTTGTAGCCCTTGCCCTGCCTGGAGTGAGCAAAGAGGCATTTTATGGGAAGTTTCTTCTATTCTGTGTTGAAATGGGCTGTTTGGAAAAACGGTCTCTCTAGCCGGGTGGAGAGCTGATCCTGCAATTATTCTGCCCCAGAACATGCTGTCCAGGTGCTACCCTGTGCTGCAGAGCCCAGCCCTGTTCTCTCCCTCCTACAAAGAGGAGGCAGTTTTGACCTTTCCTGTTTTTAATTCTCCCCTCCTACTTGTCTGGGGAAGCTGCACTTTCAGTACGTTGTATCTGAGTCAGCAAAAAACAACAACTGGGCCACTGGATGTGGTTTTGTGGTGGATTCATAAGCCCCTATTACCAGGTCTGGTTTGAGACCAGGCCAGTGATCAAGCCCTAGCAGAGGCAGTCTGCAGACTTGGGGTTTCACCTTGATTTTGGGGCCAGGTAGCTTGCCACATCCCTGACATTCTTTCCACTGCTGCAGGTGCAGTCCTTGCCTGCATTTCACAGTGCATTGCGTCATGGCTTCTTGGACTCTACTTAATGCTGCTGCAGGTGTGAGAAACCAAAGTGACAAAGCAAGAGGTGCAATTATCAGGCTCCTTGGCTTCTTACCTGGCTGCTTCAAGACAGTGAGTGGGTGGTTGGCTTTCCCTGGGAGGAGGCTTTTATACTTCTGCACAGCCAGGTTTGCTCCAGCATCTCTGTTGGCTCGGACTGCACCTCTGAAGAGACAGAACCTGCTGGTACCCAGTTGGCTTGAACCCACTGCAGCTGGACTCAGGCCCTCCTCTAACTCACAGCTCCTCGGGAATATGCTCTGGGGACAGGCAGGAGCTTTCCAGCAGCTTTATGCAATGCTGTCTGAATCACGCAATAAACAAGTCCAAACCCTATTATTAGACTTTGGAAACTGCTGCCTTAGAGACAGGTTTGCTTATAAATATCCATTATTTTCTTTCTGGCTCTTCACGAGGGAAGCTGGCAAGAAAAATGGATCTCTGCTTCACCAGAATCTGCCTGTCCCTGATGCTGTTGTTGCTTCTTCCCACCTGAGCTCATCTTCCTCACTCTTCCAAGCCTCCCAAGTTCTAGCTGTGCTAATGAGACATCTGCTCCAATGTCAGCAGGGTGACAAATGCCAGCTATTTTGGAGGGGGACGGGAAAACACAAGTAATAAGTAACTGGGCAGAGCACTTGCCACAGTCACCGCAGTGTGTAGGTATGCAAGCCAGCTGCTTTGGTGGCTAAAGTAGAATTACTGGGTCCAACAGCACACTGCATGGCTGTGAGAAAGCCCCGATGGCTCAGGGAACATGGATGACTTCCTTTCTCTGCCTTGTTTGAGGAGGGACAGATTGAAGGCTCGCCAAAAGTCAATGGAAATGTCGACTTCAACAAGCTTTGCAGGAG